TCTAGTCCTGTGCTTGGAAATGTGTAGCTATTTGAGCTCATCAACTTGATTTAGAAATTAACAGCCACATCATATCCCATGAATATATAACACTTTTATATATTTTCACAACTTAGTATGTCATCTCAATCATTTGTTAGCTCTCTGTGCCTTGAATATCCTTCTGAGATGTAAAAACATCATTTTGATTAAGATATAGCTAGTTTCCTGCATATGTGCTTAGATTATGCATATGTGCATATAATTACTTATATAACCTCAGCTACTACTACCTCAGCTACTACTTGTGTTATTGCAATTTTTCTGAGCTTTTACTTTGGTTTACCCCAATGGGGCACATGTATTTTAGTCACATAATGAATGTTCATTAGCTGGTAATCTGATATTAGCTCTAAAACTTTGCGTACCTTATAATTTTAATGGCTTTTTAAAAAAACTTCTAATATGATGTGATATATAGCACATAACCTATAAAAGGGAAGGTGGGTTATGTAATCCTATTATAGTGAGTAGGATTATTGGGGACAATAAGATAATGTACCACAGAAATCTCTGATATGCCTTTTGAGTATTTATCCTGCTTTGATCTGGATGCATGTGTGTGAACAGTATGCTTGATTTCCTGCTCCCTTTAGTGCTACTTGAATATGTCTTAATAGCACTGTGAGAATGGTCGACAGCCGTTTCACCTCTCAATCCATTACTCAACTTGGAAAGGTTTTGCCTAATGGTTTTTCAAATTCAGATTGTACCCAACGAATTCAGATTTTAACCCAACGAAAAGAAGACCCCAGATACAAGCGGGCAGGACAACTGCTGTAACTGCACTTTTAGTATACCTTCTGCTTGACTTTATTTCATACTCTCTTTAAAAGATAGTTTTCCTGGGTACACAGTCTTTGGTTGCCAGTTACTTTGCTCTCTGAACTTTGAGTGCTCTTGCCATTACTCTGGCTTCTATCCTTGAAGAGAAAAGGCTGCTAGCATTCTGATTTTCCTTTGTATGTGATCTGTCCCTTCTCTCTGGCTTCCTTTAAGACCTTCACTATATATTTGGTATTATACAATTTTAATACCAATGTCCAGAGGTGGATTTAGTTTTATTTATACTGCCTACTTGATTTTTTTTCCCTATACCTGTAAACTTTATACTTTATTATTCCTAGAAAATACTGTCATTTCTCAGATATTGTCTCTTCTTCATTTTCACAATTCTTTCCTTGTGTGACTCTAATTGGCTATGCTGAAACTTGTCATGCTTTCTTCCAAATCTCTTAACATTAATTTTTTTCATTCCCTATTTATCTGTACTACCATCCATATAATTTCTTCACCTCCAACTTGTAACATTTTTTTCTCTATTGTATGTCAATGAGTATCTTACCCAACCATTTGAGTTTTTAATTCCTCAAACTACCAAAGTTTCTAAATTTTATTTCTAAAAACCAAGTTCATTTCTAAAAATTCTCTTTGCTTCTTTAGAGTGGTTTCTTATTTCCTACTCATTTTTGCAATGCCATTTCTCGTTCTTTAAACATATTATAGTTCATAACTGTTAACTTCCAAATTTGAAGTGCTTGGGATTATAACTCTATGGATTTTTTTTTTCTGCTGACACTCACCCAAGTGATGTTTGACAATGAGCCAATTTTTGTTTGACGTTAATCGGGTAAAACCTAACGATCTAAATTTAGATTTTTTTTACGATGTTTCTCATGGAGGCCGCTAGAGGGCGCTCCTTTGACAATGCTCCACTTAATCCTTTGAAAAGATTGTGGTTGACTCAGACTTTGACACCCAGGGCGTGGCATACAAGTTACAGTGCTGACATTCACATTTGTTTGCAGGGGCATCCTGCTGTTTATATATTTTCTTCATGTTCCTCATTACTGTTTCAGCTTTGTTTCTGTTTTGTCCCGTGTTTTTCCTTTAGAATTAATTCTTCTCATCTCAAAGACTCCAGAAATGCAACAAAAATTGTTTTATGCAAAAGCAATTATTTTCAAGCAAGATGGCCTTTCAGAGTATCTAATCTACCATGCTGCCAGTAGTGGATGCGCAATGATATTTTTTACTCTGTGTTTATAGCTATGCTCCTAGTATAGCTATACTATATATCTTGAAATTCCCAGATAAATGGAGCATGGCTTACATTATTTTAAACAGAACATCACAGCTTTCACACTGGAGGTGGACATTATTGCTCAAAATGGACTCGAGTGGTTTGCTTAACTGACTGACACACTATGTTAATGAGATCATGTGATTCAGCTAGATTTCTTCTGCCTGCATGGTGCAAATAAACCTGCTCCCACTGCTATAAAGGTTGCTCAAAATATCAACCTTGGTGAAGGATGATTTAATGATAAAATCTCATTTAGAAAACTAACATGATTAAAATAAAAAAACATTTAGCTAGTATGGCTGAATCAATAAGGTTTTATTTTAACTTATTTTACAATAAGGAGACTACTTGCATGAAATTGCCATTGTTGGCCTGCTAGCGTGAACTTGAAATTCTTGTATTTACCATTCTATAATTTGTATTTTTGAGGAAAGCCCTTACTTATTAACACAATGTATTCATTATATATCATTAGGTCCTTTTTCATCAAAACAGAAAATGATACTACACAGTTAATTGATGAAGTTTAGTTTATAGAAGCGAAAGGCATTTATAAGCTTATACTGGCATTAAGTTGAGTGGATATTTAGTCAATAGCTTGATTGAAAACAATGTGACAAGACAGTGAATTGCAGCCTATATGAAAAACAATCACAATTGTGAAAATGTATTAAAATCAGGGATTTCTGACAATATCTAAATAAATTCAAAATGACAAAAATTTACACTTAACAATGGCTTCTAAGACATGAATAACAGTTACCGTAGAACCTAAAAATAATGACACTCCCAAAACACACACACATGGAACTAGGTAATTAGTACTTTCAATAAATAAGCTCCCTTGAATTTGCTCAAATTATATTGACTTGTGCTGCAGAGTAAATATTATATTTACATGAGCTTTTAACTATGAGAGCTACGCACAGGAGACAAAGAAAGGATTGAGTTGATTAAGGCAAGAATTAATAAAAATAAAATTATATAAATTTATATTCAGACATGAATCAGTTTGTGTGAGTCTCCCTCTCAGCTCTTCATGAAGCACTCTGGAGCTTCCTTACCCACTATGCCTCTCAGGGAAGAGTAAATGCAATCATTCTTATTTAAACACAGACATTATATCTTTGGGTATATTTCAACTATTTCAATGTCTGTTCAAAAGGCTGGGTGTTAATGCTGGATAAATCAAAGCTAAACTTATTTAATAAAATACTTATCAATACTTGCACTTTCTGCTTGAAAAACCAATAATGAGTCAAAGGTGTTATTAACTATTCTTTATAATTACGCAGTTTCAAATTTTTGGCATGAACATTTCAAAGATTAACTTTGAAAAGCTTAATTAATAGAAAGGGACATTTCAACATTTTAGCAACTTTAATCTATTTTTAATGTTTAATCTTCACAAAGAAACATAAACTGGTTTCTTTGAGATCTTGACATTTATTTTTTCCCCACCAAATTGCATTTTTATGGAACATGTATTTAAACCTCACACAGACTTATGATGGGCAGTTTAATTGCACTTAAAAATTCATGCTCAAGATTTCAGTACCAGAAACTAACATCTATCATCTTAGTAGCAAGACACATTATGTAAGAAAAACTGACCACCCCGATTTTTTTTAAGTGAATAAGGCATTTACCTAAAAAGACCTCGAGGCTAGTGAAGGAAAAAAGGAGCTTCGAATGTAAAAAAAAAAAATAAAAGTTGAAATGTATCTTCTCATCTTTTACTTTATTCTCTTTGTTGCCATCTCTTTTAGTTTCAAAAATCATATGAGAAGATATCTAAAAGTATCTGGAAAGAGTCTTGGGGCATTCAGTTCACTTCTTTAATGAAAAAAGAACTAACTACATTATATGATAAATAAAATATTTTCTTTTTCAAATTCCATTTGAGTTCTTGTTCTATCAAAAGCTGGAAAAAGCAATGAAAGAAGAATGAAAACTCCATTTTTTGTGATTTGCGATGACAACAGTATCCCAGTATAGTTTTTCAAATATTAAGACACAATTAATAACCAAATATAAAGAATCTGTATCATTCAGTTACAAAATCCTCTGCTCAAATCGGGATTACAAGTTGTTTTCTATCTCTACGTGGACCTTTTCCAGTTAGTAAAATATATACTCTGGCATTGAAATTCTACTATGTCCTTTTGGAGAAATATTTATGATTATGTTAGGATCAATTTCGCTCAAATGTCCTTTTCTACACTCTAACTTGCACTCACTGTGCTGTTTTAAAGTCTGCTTTCAGGATATAAGAACGAAATTACAATTAATGTTTCATAATAGGTGTGCAACACAGATTGAAAAAATTAAAGTTACTTTAAAAAAGGAGTATGATTGTAGAGGAAGTAAATGAAGCTTAAAATATTGTATAAATGTCTTACAATAACTATTCGCGCAAGACCATATATTTTAATTATTACCATCTTTCTGTGAGTCATTTGAACATTTTTGAGTGCATCTGAATAGAAATAGGTGTTCATGTATTTGCCATTAAGTAGCTTTTGCTCACTTGCTTATTGCATAAACAAAATGCTTGTAAAGAGTTTTATCATCTGTTCTATGTAAATATATACCCCTACATATATAAGATTTTCTTTACATGTTTGGATTTAAATAAGAACAAATTGCACTACCTGCTTTGACAGAGGAAATTTTGATTAAAAAAGTCTCTTATCTAAAAATACCAATATCTCATTATAGCTCTGTGTACATACTATAAGAAATTAATGACCAAGAATTCAATAGTAGATTTAAAAAGAGACAAAAAGAAAGAACAAAAAGAGATAGGCTGCGTAGTGACTAAAGATCATCTCCTTTCATGCCAGTAAAGTCCAAGCTGTGAGCATGCTCAGGCACATGGGAGGCGCCGAAGTTGCTATATCAGAACTTCTTCTCTGGTATAAGGAGGATACGTCTAATAACTCAATTGCTGTAAACCTATTGTTATTTTTCTGGTATTAAACATCTCTTCAGTCTCAGATTGATTGCAATGTTCCTTCTACTTCACCTCATCGTTCTGATAGATGCCAAAGGTAAGGCTGCTGCTTTCTTGCTTAAATGAGTGTAATTCAAAAAGAATATGACATTTCTAATTAGTTCTATCATATTTATAATAGACTCATGGCAGTGTTTGATTCATTGCATCCACTTTGCACTTTCACTGTAGTTATCACTACTTGCTCAGGGTCCCATGCTAGTAATTTCTATATTCCACAAATATTTCATGAAAACTTGCTTTTATATGTGAGTAAAATTACAGATATTTCTTAAAAAAACAATGTTAAATACCAATTATAGTAGGGAGGATATTTTTAGTGTTTGTTTTAAAAAGCATAACAAATTAATGAATTAAAAATTTGTTTTACTAAATTTCAACCTGTTGAAATAGGTTCATAAAATTTATGTAATTGTTGGTGTTTCATTGTTAACATAGGTTCTGTAAACTAAACTGGGAACTGTAAAACCACAGACAAATCTAAAAATCAGCATCAATCCCTATGAGCAGAGTTATCTAAAATGGAATTATTAAAAATGTACAGAATTGTCCTATTTAGATAATTTTCTGCCTTTAATTTTGAAATATTTGTATTTCAGTCAAGCTGCTAATTTTTAAGTTAGTGGCGTTTTTATTGTAAAGCTGAGAAAAAATTAATTTCATTTGGTTTCAAAGAAAGAAGTAGACTTTCTTTCATACCCAAGACTTGTTGGATTTATTATCATAATTATTATTCAAAAACAAATACATAGTTTTTATTAAGAAGTTTTTGATAAAACCCTTATATAAAAGTTAGAGTTTGAAATTACTTTTATTTTCTGTAAGATTCTGTAAAATTTTTATGAAATGAATAAACTGAAATGAATAAACTTCAACTGAAGTTTTTAATCCTGACATAAAATGCATTACTGATGAATAATTATTTTAAAACCTCTAACAAGTAAAAGATTTAAATATTAGTTTGAATTTGAAATAGCAAAACCTTTTCTTTATTTTAAAATACTATTCTAATACACAGCATGATTTTTTTTGTTGTATTTTACTCTCTTAAACATTAAAACTTTAATATTATCTAAGGACAAACAGTATATAAACTGATTTTGCATGAAATTCAGTTGTGGAAAGCAGTCTGTTTCTTTGATTTTCAGAAGTTCATGTCTTATGCACATTTATAACATTCAATCTTAAATAATTTTTAAGAATTGACAATTTTAAAAGTAGGCTCTTGGGTGCAACACACTTCATGGAGATCATCTGTGCCCTTAGATAATTCTTTAACATACAACAATATAACTATAGTTAGACAACTTTACTATTGGACTACTTTTACTTGTAGTAATGCACCTAATTAATTTTGCTTAGAAAAACAAAAACCTTTATGAGATGATAAACAGCTACTAAAGTAATGTTTTAGGATTTACCATAATATAATGGTTTTCTTTAACTTAAAAAATAAGGAAAGAAATTTTAAACACATGATTTTAGATTGCTTTTTATTTCTGAGTAAATGCCATATTCCAGATCCATGCTACCAAGGTAATAAATATCTATTGATTAATTGTAATTCCCTGGAAATTTTTAGTTTCTAACATTATATTACTTTCAATTCTTAGTTTAAACCTTTATATTTAAAATTATTTATTTTCAAAGTAAAGCATGTTAATCGATGTTTTGATACTACATTAGTTTATTTTTGAGGACAAAATTTTAGGCAAAGCAGTAAGGCTATACTAAACAAAGACATGTCATTTAAAATTATGTAAACGTAAAGATTGTTTTTTAAATTTAAATAAATATTTGGCCTAAACAAAAAGGAAAAGTTAGAAATTATGTGTCTGTCATTTCTCTTCTGGCCTGATTATTGAGTGCCCAATGAATGAATGATGTTGACTATGTTTCAGACATTAGTTGATAAATAAAGACAACGTGTCACTTTCCACATGTGTTTTATCATCAATTTATTCACTGGGTATTCATGCTAAATAGCCACAAGCCACTTCCTTCTCAAAAAAAAAAAAAAGTTGGTTTTCCAATGGACTAATTATGGACAATAATCCAATCCAAAACATGGGTTTTTAGGGGGAATTTAAAGCAAGAAGTACAGAGAATGCTGCGTGATTAACTACCCAATGCTAGTTATTCAACGAGCTAACCGAGAAAACTGCCGTCCTCAAAAGCAGGGTCTGAGCAGCATTTTGAAGTGAGCAATATTTGACTGCCCCCTAATGGACAAGCTCAAAGCTCGACTTGGAATGTCCCTTTCAAGCAGTGTCAGTTCACCTTGGTCACTGTTACTTGAAAAAGATTTCCAACTAAATTTTAATTTCACACAATTACATCCATGCTGCTGATAGCTGTGAAAATCAATTATACTTCAGGCCAGTCATACTGAGAGGCTAAAGCAGCACCATTAATGAAAAAGCACCTGTTTGAGGGCTGAGTGGAGCCCACTGTGAAGGAGGGAAAATAAGAGAAACCTAGAAGTTAAAGCCATTCAGATGTGTTCTCTCTAAAGACTCTAGCTAAATAGGTCCCACAACAGACACTAGCTAAATAAGTCCCACAACAAATATTTACTCATTTGCTCATCTTTTCGTGACTATGCATAGCCAGATATAATTAAAGAGTTTCAAAAACTCTCACTTGAAGTGACAAAAGTGACTGTCACCTGAATTTAATAGACAAAATTGAGACACTGCTTCAAATAAGTCAAGATTGAAAAATGGCACATTTTTAATCCTAGAAAATCATGGCCTGAATAAAATTCAATTACCTAGGCATAGTTTTTGTGTACATAGTTATATAATGATAAATGCACAGATGTTTTAGGAGTGTATGGGTGTTTGAGAACTCAAATAACTTGATTTTTTGGCTAGAGATTATATAACTTAACATTCTTTGGAAAATATCAATGTACTTGTTTTATAAAAGAAATAATTGTGCACCTAGAGGTATAATTACCAGAAATGAAAAGTAGATCTCCTTTCTATGCTTTATTCATATGCATTAATTTTTCATCCCTGTACTTCCAGTTGTTGAGTGTGTATAGAAAAAAAATTGTTTGCAATAAATTTCAACATTGCTAGATACTCAGAAAAGTGTCCACAGCCAAAATAAAGTGACTGAATGCTTATGTGATGAAAAGGTTTTAGAATGGAATAGACCTTTAGGAAGGATGTTTAGAAAGGAATTACCTTTGAAGAATTGACTAAGAAAAAGCTTTAAAATTAATGTTCCACATGACTGATGAAATCCTAGACCTCTAATCTTGTCCCAGTCCTGCTGCCACTGTTCTTCTGCCTCTTGCCTCTGTTCCTATTCAAGCCTCTCCCACTTCTCTGTGGCTTTCTGCTCAGTTTTTCTTGCCAGAAAATTTATCCCCTCGTCTCCTTTCCTTGCACACATCTGCCTTGCTGCTCCTCTGGCTTCATTTCAGCCTCTCACTGCGGTCTCTATCTTCTTGCTTTCCTCACCTCTGAAACTTTCCTCTCTTGTTTTTTCTTTAAAAAAAAAAAAAAGATTTATTTTATTTATTTATACAAGATCCGGGGTACAGCCCAGATGTGTGGGAAGGTGAGAGGATCCACCAGAGACAGAGCGGGGGACAGAACAGGCAGACTGACCAAATACACTGCTGAGGGGAGCAGCGGGTGAGACAGGAGAGGTCTGCTGTGCCGTGTGGGACCCTCACCGGCCGGCCGGGATGGAACTGGCGCTGCAGAGGCTGCGGACAGCTTCATAGGGCTGCACTCAACCACCTGCACCACCAGGGGAGGCCCCTCTCTTATTTTCTTGTAGTAGCTTCTCAATGCTCTAGATCGCTCATCTTCTCCAGCTCAGTGCTCATCCTCTCTACATCCATTCTCTCTGATTCCCATGTCTGCTCCATCCTGACTACTAGTATCTGCCTTTTCATCTCCACCTTGGAATTTATCCGGCCCTCAATTTCCCCTTTCTCAAGTATTCCTTGCCTCTAAATCACCTCTTCCATTTGCCAAACTACCTCTCCAGGGTCTTCATGCATGTTCAGGTCTCCCTTTTGGGGTCCTTCTTCCTGTCATTTGATTCTAGACTCGTTATCCCCTGACTTGGTCAACGATCATCATTTCTGATTGCCAGACACAAGCCCAAACAGAACCAAAGCAGTGTTATATCTGGTTATAACTTCAGCACTGGCTTGCTTTCATAGGACCACAGTGATTAATCTACAGTTCTGAAATTCAAAAAACTGGAAGTTTAAACTCTTTTGCTTATGAAATCTTATCCAAACTTTCAGAAAGCCTTTTAGATTCTCTGCACTTAACTATAAAATTTCATACATTGTGTTTAAATAAATATTTGTGTTAGGGGGCTCCCTGGTGGTGCAAAGGGTAAAGTCTGAGCACAATGAAGCTGTTGGCAGCCACTGTGGCCTGAGTTCAATACCCAACCAGGGAGCTAACCCACGTGGCCCAGTAGACCTCTCCTGCCTCACCCGCTTCTCCCCACAGCAATGTCTTCAGTCCATCTGCCTGTTCTGCTCCCTGCTCTGTCTCTGGTGAATCCTCTCACTCATCCCCCTGACATGTCTGGCCTGTACCCTAGTTCTTAGATGCATAAATAAAAAAGAAATCTTTTAAAAAAATTAACGTGTTAGATTATGGGATTTTAGCAGGGAAAGTTAATTAATAGCATGTGCATCATAAAATTTCCTAAAATAAAACAAATTACATATTCTGAAACACATTACATATTACAAACAAATTACATATTCTGAAATACACAGACACTGAAAGTGTTCCTGCTAAGATATTGTGGATCTGTATCCCATGGCATATGACACTCCCCAGCAGTATGTAAGTGTTCTCTGTGCCCAGGGAGGATCTATCTTAATAGCATATGTATTAAATGAGGGATAGAGAGTTTTTAACTCATTCTCTCTGATTCTAGTTTATTTTTTATACTATTATGTTTTTTAAACATTTCAATGACTATATTTTTCATTCCAGTAATTCTGAGTGTATGTAAATATGTCTATTCTAGTTTTACCAACTTCCA